AAAGAAAATTTTAATTTTATTTGTTTGATAGATATTTTGTATGGATATAGAGAAGGAGGTAAATGGAAATGTATTATTGTATAGCAGCTGTCCACGCGGACGCATCGCTCACTCAAGTAGGAGAGAGACAGATGTCGAACGCTGCCGAACGCGGAGGCCGATTGTGCCTCTTTGTCGCTCGTTCCGCGCTCTCGCTTGCACTTCAAGCCTTAAATGGAACGCCTCAGAGCGAGGTAACGCCGCATGAGTCATGTTTTTTCGTGCGTGCAGCCGGCTCCATCGAATTATAAGACGTTGTCACGTCAAAAAAAACAGCATGGGAAGTAAAGTTAACGATAAAATAAAAAAAAGTTCGTCGGTCAAAAACGTTTTATTGAATTTGACTTCTGCTGATATTTACTGTTGACTGAAATATTTCATGTCAGGTAAGGATCTTCCTAAAGTGCTTATAATTCGATTTATTCGCGTATATAAATCCAATTCTGAAATATCGATTAACTTTCTAATTCAGTTTTTGTTGATGCGTCCTGCGGTATGAAAAGTTCCGCTCATAACAAAAAGAGTTTCTCAATTAAATTTGGATGGATTTCAAACATATAAATTGAATTTCGGAAATCTCCTGGTCCGCAAGAAGCGGTAGAAAAAGGAAACGTACGCAGCCCTTTTCATGCTTCAAATAAATTTCAGTCCGTTTGAAAAGAAATCGATTTACAACTTGCTCCTCCTCGTCTTCGGCAATGTTTCAGACACGGATTAAAGTTTGGAATCCCTTTTGAAAATTTCGCGTTATTTTCGTTTTTCTGTATATGACGAAGACAAATTGAGGTATTTACCAGAGGGAACCACACCCCTCCAGTGATAAAACTCAACGATGCGGTCCAGCAGTTTCATTTTATTTAATTTTATTTCGTTTGTTTTAAAACGCGATATTTTAAGTTCCAGTTAGAAATAAAAACCTTTCATACATCATTTTCTTGAAATCTTTACTTTGTTTATTCATTAACAAGGAATAATTTAATGTGTCTTATCATAAGCGCACCAAAGACAGGATATAAATAATAATTGACCTTCTATTGTTCAAAGAAAATAAAAGAACTGCTACAAAATGAATTATCATTAAAAAAGACAGGATTTTAGTAAGATCTTAAATTAAATAAAAAGTCTTTAATTAGGAAGGATAATGAAAAATATCAGACTCAAACAATTAAATTTCTCCTTGTTAGAAAGCGTTGAACTACATTTAATTATTTCGCCTGTTATCCTTTAGTTTTGGAGCGTTTTCAGTTTCATGGAGCAAAATAAGGGTTTGTGTTAAGAAAGTCTAATACATAACTATAAATAAAGTTAACAATGCCTGCATGATGTTTGCAACCTGTTACAGGTCAGTATTTTATATACTTAGACATCTTCAAGCACCTATAATGTTTAAAGGAATTGAATAAAACAATATTTCATGCGAGCTGTTATACGAGGGGATCACCTTAATCTCCCCTTTTCCTTCTACTACGTTTATAAGACAGTTTCTCTTTTCTCTTGATCTCTTAGCGTTCATGAGAAATAAAAACAGTAGACGAAGCAACTGTTTCTACAGGCTTCTTTCAAAGCTTTTGGTGACTTTGTGATGACAAACTGTGACGGGCAACGCACTGATTTTCTTTCCAAATTCTTCCTCCTGATGATAAAGAAAACAACGGCGGAAGAAACAGTTTCAATTTTTCAGGAACCTCATTAGAAGAAAAATCTAACCTGGACAAGAATTTATAAGTGGTTTGCCCAATTCTGAAGTGGTCAAATGTCATTTGAAGATAAAGTTCGTGCGGGTTATTGCTCGCGCGACAAATTGGACGAAATAACAAGAATTTCTTGGAGTTTATTCCATAAAACCTAACAGAACATTTGAATAAGAGAAAAATTTTGTTTTACGATTTCATTCCGATGATCAGAGAAGGCTGTAGAAATTTGTTTTTTAGAAGTCATCACATGAGATGAATCTTGGTGTTACTGCTATGATCCTGACACAGTCGAATGTATATTTCTTGCAAAAAAGTGAACAGTGGCGTCAGAAACAGTTTCAACGTTTCAAGAAGACTATGGGAAGAAGGATCTAAACCAGACAAGAAACGAAAATGCGCAATAGTTTTGCATCGCAAAATTTCGACAAATTGGAAGTAATAACAAGAACTTCCTGGGGTTTGTTCTAAAGAATTCCTACAGTGCATTTGAACATGAGAAAATGATTCCACGATTTCCATCCGATACCAGAAGGAGGACTGTTTGAGAGTGTGCTTGGTATTGAAACAATCTGCAGAAATCTTAACTTTATTTAAAAGTCATTATAGAAGATCAATTTTGATGGCCCTGACACAGCCGAGTTTATGCGGGCAGCTCCGACAAAAAAAGAAAATCAGCAAGTGAAATCAAATATAAAGTCCACCACTTTTTACTTTTTTGACATTGAAATAGTCGCTCATGTTGAGAGAACGACTTGAATTGTGACGACTGGCTGCCTCATTAAGACAAAGTGCTTGTGCTCATGCAGCGTTAAAAATCAACCAGTTCTTGACGATAACATTTATAACAACTGTCTCTCGATTCTCCTTGCTCGACTCTTGCGGCTTTTTATTCAGAAGAAAAGAGAAATATTTCAGAAAAGAATCTCTTTCGGTATGTAGAAGAGGAAAAAGCAGACGAGACCGAGGAAAAGGTTTTTAGAAGAGGGTAAAACCCACTGGGAAAAGTCCATATCACCTAACGAACCGTATTTTGAAAGAGATTGATGTGTTTCAAGCTATTATCTTAAATAAAAGAAATAAATGAATAACTTTTAAATAATATCATAAAACTTATTTACCTGTAGCATTCAGAATTCAAAAAAAGTTTAAGAACTTTACGTACTGAATAACTAAATATTTACAACTACAAAAACTTACTGAAAAGTTTTAAGTTACATCTCTTTCTCTAATTTCCAGGACGGAGAGGTAGGAGTAGATATTCAACTTCTAAAATAGATAATGCTACGTTAAATCCTAGTCATGAGGATTCTACCTACATTGTCCTTTTATATCCTTATTAAAGTTTGCCAAGAAGTTTTCCGCTTTTAGGTCTTAAGTACTTGAAAGGAAGAACTTTTCTCATCGTTATGGCTTACGAATACCTAAATTTTCATTTATTTCATACAAAAAACTAAATTATATCTACTACACTTACAGTCTACTTTAGAGATCCACAAACTTTCGGATTAATTAGAAACTAGCAATTTAGACGTATTTCAGTTGGAAATAAACAGTAGGAACAAAATGTGGCGGGTTCAATTATCTCCACGGGGGTGTATGTTTGGTTGCACATGTGTAGCTTCTATATTCTTTTATCAAAATATACTCGGAATTAAAATGTAACCGCTACCACCGACAACGGGTACAGTTGGTTTAACTTATAGTTATAATTGCCTGGTTGTGGCGTCCCTCCGGCTATAGCGACGTTAACTTTTAACCCTTGAATTTAGGACGTTTACTTTAATAGCAAATTTACTCATTCAACCGATAAAATACAAAGTGGAAAAGTAAACATAAATTAGCCCTGGACGTTTGTATGTACATACTATGTAGTTATATTAATACATTCTAGATTGTAACTTTAATTACTAACGATACCGATATGGTTTAGCAGGGAATGCAATCAAGTTCTCTTACATATCTAAATTACAGTAATTACCAGCTTTTGCAGGGACTAATTTACTGCATACGAAGGTAATTATTGAGTTGGCGTGGCGACTTATTTTTAATGTTGCTTTAATTTTACAGTGAATGTAGGCATGCAATGGAAATTCATACACTGCATACTGCGTACAAATCCAGTAGAAGCGTGAAAACAGCAGCAGCAGAGAGATCTGGTGGCGAGAGAACAAACTATAGCAAAGGTAGCGGAAAATTCAAAGTAGCAGACGACAGCAGCTAGCAGATGGGTAATGGAGTCTGAACAGATGAAGGGGAACTCAGAGGAAGCAAAGCACACGTAGAGTGAGCGGGGCTAAGCCCTGGCTGACGATGACATCTATCAAAAGTGGTTGGCGATGACAGTTGTCGAAAATGACCGGCGATGACATGCCAATGATGACTGATGATGTCGGCTGTCAAAAATGGCTGACCGCCGTGATGTCAGAGTAGGAGTGGAGGGGGTAAGTGACCCAGANGGCGTTTACTGCGCCATTTGTGGTATTTTCTAAAACGCACTGTTAAGACAGCAGGTAAAAGTTGGTCTGTGTTCTGTCGGAGGTGTCTGTGACGCGCTGATGAGATCCAAAAAGATCGAAATCGCGATCCGCGTCTGGCAGTTTCGACAGAATACAGACCACTTCGAATTATTTTATTCCTTATTCCTAACTTTCTCTATCCACATCCTGATCACTGGCCTATAACATTACATTTCAAACGCTTCTAACCTTTTCTTTTCCGCCGCGCTTACAATCCATGTTTCGCACCCGTACAGCGTTCCAAACATACACCTTTAATAGCCTTTTTCTTTACCAGTTTTTCTAAAATTTAAAAGTGAACCGTTCGCGAACATAGAAGAGCTTCTTTCTATTAAAGGCGATTCGACCCTACGCTATCCTTTGTTTCATACCTCTACCACTTCATCCATCCTGAATTTTTTGACCATTAGATATCGACTTCATTTTATTTTTCGTCTCCCATTGGAAGGAAACAGAATGGCATAAGCCAGTAGGTGAATTCTAATGTGATTTTTATCATTACATAAAACGCTTGATGAGAAAGATTTGTATTATTGTAGGATAATTTGCAAAGATTAGCTCAGAATAGGAAGGAGTCGAGGTGTGTGTCTAACCAATCCTAAGAATGGCGACCTTATGATGATGATAAGGATAATGCAGCATCTACTGCGTCAAAAGCGCCGGTGAAGTTACGTATAAAGATGATCCAGGAAATCTCTGGATGTAATATGTAATGCAACTAAATTGAACATAACTTAAGTCGAACACTCACCTCGTTCATAACGTTATACGCATAGCAGACTCCCACTGGTGCAAGGGGTCGATAGTGATTTCCGAATGTGTACATGTAAATGAACCACGGCGCGGGAATCAGTAGAGTGAACATATCACATAGTGCCATGGCCATAAGGACGACATTTGTCGGAGTGCGCATGTGCCGTTTACTCAGCACCACAACGATGAGCGTGTTGGCCACTATCGTTATGACCAACAGAATTGGCATGAAGTATCCATAAAGAGGAATGGCGTATGTCAACGGTAACTCACAGGTCACATTCAAATGATGAGTTGCGTTACAAGATAGATCAGTTATTAGGGTTGCGTTGTTGTCCAAATCTGTAGGCTCAAGGTAGGTGTACGACTCAGTCGTATTGGACTCCATTTGCGAACGTATTTCTTCGATAATACGTGATCACAACATAATAAATCGAATGATAGATATAAATGGAATTTCTAGTCCACTAGGCCAGAGTCGATTTACTCAAGTTGATTTCATAAATGAACACGTAGTCGACTCATTTTCTATTAAAGAGTTACTTTTACTTCGGTAGTATGTTGCTGACAATGACGAGCTGTGATTTTTGTGGACAATCATGATCTGAAACAAAGAAAAGACTTACTTAAAGAGACTTGTTGGGAAGATTTGACAGTCTTTAGTTCAAAAAATTAATTATTATCCAGAACCCTGTGGCACCTAAACCAATCTCTTGCCGCCTACACATAATTACACGTGTACTGTTAGAGATGATTACATTCAAATTGATCTTGTTATCTATTAATGTTATACCCAGGCGGTGAGTATAAAACAAAATAGGAACTAATTGGACTAATTCAAACATGGCACCGCCATTTCTATAACACAGTCATTGTGCATAATTAAGATATCTGCATTTTAAAGAAATAGCCGTGGCAAACATGAAGAAGTTATTTTAATTTATTTGATATAGGTTAATATTTAATAACTTTTTTAAATATTAATGTGAATAGAGGGGCTTCCAGCTTCCCCCCCCACCACCCCACACCCACACTCCACACATACACTCACATACACACACACACAAACACACAAAATTTGAAAAAGATTGTTGAAGGTGTATGTTTGAAGCACGGACTCTATGGAAATGAAATAGAGTACTGGTGAGTAAAACCAGGGCCCCGGGTTCAATTCCCGGCGAAACCATTTTTCCTCATAAATTTGGGCAATTTTTAGAAGGTTGAATGTTAATTAATTCGAATATTTAGAAAATTATTGAATTTGAAGAAGAAGAGTGAAGATTTCTTTAATTTCATCGTCTTTTCAAAAGTGGACAAAGAAGAGAAGACCACAGTGATCAAGCCCAAATAACAGGATGTCTTCAAATAGAATAATTCGTAGTGGTCTGTATTCTGTCGAAACTGCCAGACGCGGATCCCGATTTCGATCTTTTTGGATCTCATCGGCGCGTTGCAGACAGCTCCGACAGAACACAGACCAACTTTTACCTGCTGCCTTAACAGCGCGTTTTAGTGTTCTGTTTACTGGTCCGTGTTCTGTCGGAGCTGCCTGCGACGCACTGATGAGATCCAAAAAGATCGAAATCGCGATCCGCGTCTGGCAGTTTCAACAGAATACAGACCACTTCGAATTATTTTATTCGATTATGGTAACGTGCCTATCACGTTGAGGTTAGCTACGCCGGGATTCGTTTCAGCAAGTAGATATCCATATATTTAAATGGACCTTGTTGAAGCATACGTAATCCTAAAATGTAGCACTGTACTACAGATGGCGTTTACAGCAACATTTGTCGTATTTTCTAGGACGTCTTCAAATTACGCTGCCCGTGAAAGCCTTACCGTTTTCGTACACATTTTGTACCGAAATTACGTTTAAAATTCCATAATAGAAACCAATTTTCGTTTAAAATGTTTTCACGGTAAAAATACCTGTTAGTGAATTGTTCATTCAGCCTTGTTCCGAGAAAATTCTAAAGCAACCAAACGTTTCGACCATACGTCGCCGCTTTAGTGGTTTCAATCGTGATTCGATATCGTAATATGTAATCAATCCACTAGGAAAATGGAAAAGTTTTCATTGTAGTTTAACGCATATAGCCGGTAAAAATGTGACGCTATGATCGAGGTTCGGCAACGATTTAGTAAAATAAAAGTGGCCGGGTATAGTCGTAATGTGCCTTTTTATGTCCTCTTAACCGAAATTCAAGGATAAAACGGGCGGTTTATGACAGCTTTCAACGCGAATCTCGGAAACTAAAAGAGGTAAACGGGGATGAAATGGTGGTATCTTAATATGCTGTCGAAAGCACACTAATCACCCCGACTTGTGGTTGATGCGGAATACATTTTTATTAACGGCGTAATGATGAAAAAAATCTGAAAAATGGATCGTGGAAATTCTCATCATGACAATATTCAGTATTTTACGCTAACCTGGAATACGCATAGTTAATGTTAAATTGATATTATTTATCAGAAGTCATTAAAAATACAACAAACGAATGTTTTGTCTTTAAGTCGTATTGGTTTCCTGTAAGTAAGGATAATCATCATCATCACTGGTTAGACACGTACCTCCACTCTTTCCTATCCTGTCCTAAACTTCGCATTTCCCTAAACTAGAGCAACCCACATCCTTAACTATTTGCGAACAGTAATCTAACCTAGGTCTACCTCTACCCCTCGTAACTCCTCCTTCTGCCTCTAACATATCTCTGACTAGACCTTCATGCCTGAGAAGGTGTCCTATCAACCTATCTAGCCTATATCTCTTTGACTTCAATAGAGTCCTCTATTCTCCTATTCTTTTTTACCTTTTTATTTCTAACCTTCTCTAACCACGGCATCCTCATCATTCGCCTGTAACACCACATTTCGAACGTTTCTAACCTTTTCTTTTCCGTCGCGCCCACCGTCCTCGTTTCGCACCCGTACAGCGCCGTGCTCCAAACGTACACCTTTAACAACCTTTTTCGACGTTTTACATTAACCGTTCGCGAGCATAGAAGTGACTTCTTTTTAGTGAAGGCGACTGGACCCTGCGCTATCCTCTGATTTATATCCCTATTACTCCTTCCGTCCTAACTTATTTGACTTCTTCGATATCTAAAATCGACCACTTCTTCTAATTTTTCGTCTCATATCTTTATAATGCGGATTTAAAATTTTGCTGGGGTTTAATTGTTTTTTTCTAACCGATTTCGGGATTAATAAATAATAAAACGCAAATACAGAACTTTTCTTTAGTTATTTTAGCAGTGGCGACTCGGGGTTGTTCATATAGGGGACTGTAAAATGTTAAAATCAGTAGGTATAGTTGGGACGATCAAAATTAGCATTAGTTCTCTCGAAATCTCAGAGGTCAACCTATTTCTGTTAGGCTGCACCTATAATTTATTTTTTAAACGTAACTGGAACATCGGTTATTTAAGAAGTAAGTTTGTTTCTAACATTCGCACATAGTCGCCGGTTGTTTTGTTTTGTTTAAAAATTCAAGGGGGTGGAATTAATCATGTGAGAGGCGCCATTTCCAAAGAATAGTAAAACTACTTTATCTAGTAAATTAGTCTGTGACATTGTCAATATCCGAATGGGTAATGAATTAAGCAAGCAATTGAAATATTTTAAAACAACAAAAAATTAAAATAATTATACGATCCTTTTACATGTCCTTTAAAGATACAAATACACGACGCTATGTCACTTCCTCATAAGGGTAAAACGAGTTTGATATTCCAGTGGAGGCCTTCGGCGAAAAAAAACACGTTTTATGAGTAGTAGGCATCAATGTTAAAAGGTCCTTTTACAACTTTTAAGGTCAATAAAATGGTATCATTGTCTGAAGCAAAAGAATCTTTATGGCCGTAATTTAGTAGGTATAAACCTCATTCTTAACATTGTGGCCCATATAAAGCTGTTCTTTCGCAATATTGGCGAAGTAATTAACGTTAGCAAAGTTGTTTATTAGTTTTTAATGAACACATATGTATATATACAAGGTGTATCAGAAAATAAGTGCCGAGTTTGCAAGAGGCGATGAAGAACTATAAAACATGAAGATTAAGTAAATGTTTGTATCACCGTCTTCGAGAAAAACGTAGCTGAAGTTCAATCTTGGCCCTGGTAAAGAAATAATGTTGCACTCAATCAGCTGATGATTACCAACATCAGTGTAGTATTTGTTTTGTATGTTTTTGCTTATAAATGTTTATTTGTTAGATTAGATTAAGTGTAATTTAGAGTATTTATGATAACAACCAACCTCTAGTAGCCGTTTAAAGCTTGTATGATGCGCAATTCAATAAAATATACTTTGATTACTTTCTGTAGCGATGTGACCTTCAGTTTGACCGGTGCAAAGTAGAAAAGAACAGCACTAGGTCAGAAAAGGAAGGAGACAACTCTCGGCCAAACTCTTAACCTGTGAGGAGAGTACAATCCGTACAGTACTGCACGGAAACTTACCAACATTGCAACATAGGGAATTATTTCAGAAAATACCTAGTTGGGTATTTAATTTTCGTGGTTCACACTGACAGTATCTGCTGTATATTCATTAAAGAAAAACACTTAACATTCGTAAATATACCTTTCAAGCCTTTTTTTCTAATTTATTGGATTGTAATTAATTTTTTTGTCAACCTATTACGAACACAAAGATATTACAAGGTTATTACAGTCAAAACCCTACTGTCTACGAGACAAAAAGTACAATCAATTTCTAATTAACATTGTCTTGAGGATCGTAATTCATAGAACTTCTTCTTAAGAATACTGGTAGCAATTACAATAGATAATTAATAATATCAAAATAATCACTTAACATAGAGTCCATAGAGAGGGTCCTTTATATTTCAATTAAGGATAATGAGGGTTCGGATGTCTAAAAATGTACTTGTAGTTAATAATAATATTAAAAGAAACCTTGTTTTGCGCCTTTGCTCTTAATTGAGGTAGTATACTTCATTTACTTTCTGTAGCAATGTGACCTTCAGTTTGACCGGCGCAAAGTAAAAAAGAACAGCACTAGGCCAGAAAGGAAAGGAGACAACTCTCGGCCAAACTCTTAACCGGTGAGGAGCGTATAATCCGTACAGTACTGCACGGAAAATTGACCATTTTATCCACTAAAATTGCATTGCTCAAATGTGCTGTTATTGGTACCATTTACTACTGAAAATACGAACGAGATGTTTATTTATATTTGAAGATATATTAAAAGCTTTAACGCTTGTTTTCGACTCGCACTACTTTTCATGATTGAACAAAACTTTTGGCAGGTACTGTATGAAAAAGTATGTTTAATGAACAAGAGTCGAGAGTATAATGAGTTTTTTTCTTCCTACCTACGATTTTGCCAGCGCGCATCCAAGACATTGGAGGCACATCGCGCTAGAGAAAGTAAATGAAGTATAATTCAGTAATCCTCATGCTCATATTTCGAGCAATGTTTACATAACTTACATCTTTTCTTTCTTTTATGTTCGTACAGTTACTTAGTGTTGTCCGTAATGAACTTTTGGCAGACACCTATGCTGCCAATTCACGCACAGGACCGGCTTCGAGTTGTAAATTATTGATTTTCTTAAAAGTTTTTTGCCC